CACACACACACACACACACACACACACACACACACACACACACACACACACACACACACACACACACCATGTGAGAATATATTCAGGGCATGACGTTGCTCTATGTGTTTACTGCCGGATGCGTCCAAATCTGGTTTCAATTGTTTCTACAGACGTTTGCAACGTGCAGTGCAACACACWAGAACTCAAAACAAGTCAGATAAATGCTTTTTTATTTTATTTTATATGGCAAAAATTATTCTAAATAAGGGTATCTTAATTTAAAAGCATACGTTTTGCAAGTGTGCGGTTGTTTGAAGTGAATTTCTTTTCATCTTGTTATTTCTAACACTGCAGGCCTAAACTAATAGGCAGGGACGTTTCCTCCGGTTCTCCCACTCCTTTCTGTGACTCATTTCCCCAATTCCCAGACAAGCGACTGTTAAATACTGAACACGAGGCAGATAAACAAGCGTGACGACAACTTTCTGAGAGTAAATGTTCGCTGATATTAATATTTTCTTACCTTTCCTTTCCGAAAAACCGGAGCGTGCAGACTTTTCGCAGAGCTCTTCACGGGGAGCTTTTTGAAGGAGAGACCCCACTGAGCATGCGCACTCAGGGCTTCCGGGGGCGGGGCCTCAGTGCAAGTGACAAACAAACACCAAAACAACTATTTGTACTTAGCATGGTAAACATTAAAATTATTAGATTTCCAATTCTAGCATTTTTTAAAATTAAAATCAATTACATATTTTATATGACAGCTCATTACTGCAACACTAAAAATACTAAATTTAAAATGCAGTCTCAAAATTATAGCATCTCATAATTATGACTACGTCTCTTAAAATTACGACTTATAATCTCAAAATTATGACTTAGTATCTCATAATTATGGTATAAAATCTAATGGTTATAATATGCTATAATTTTGATCTAGTATCCTACAAGTAGGACTGGGTCATAATTGATGCTARGTAATAATGAGGTATTAACAGGACAGATAATGTTTTTATTTTCTCTTAACCAAGATTGGCAGGCAGTAAGAAGTGGAAACAGTTTAAGCTTTAGTTTTRCTGGGAGGTGGGAGTGGATGGGATGAAAATAAGGTCTTTGCAGTGCTTGAAAGGCWAACCCGCTCGTGAGAGCACTGCGCATGCTCTGTAGCCATGGTGACCAATCCTACAACAAGCCTTGATGCTTGGGCGTCATCAGCGTGTGGTAAGAAAATCCTCCAGATAAACGAGACGATTTTAAATGGTAAACAAATCAACTTGGACAGTTGAACGGTTTTAAAATTGCTTCGTGTCACTGTTTTCTCATTTATGTTTCGTTTTAGAGCAAAAACGCTTTGTGAAAAATTGAATAAATTAGCTCGTTTTAAATTCACAGCAACCTGTGGTTAGCGTTTAGCTAATTAAAAAAAAAACAGCAGTGTAGCAATTATTCATAGCTGCATTCACGTCTTATAAGTCCTTATGTTAGTGATTATGGAGTATGACTTGAAATCAAAACAAGAGCTGAAATCATCGTTTAGTATGTTTTATTGTCAGGATGTGATTTGTTTTTATAATCCTTTTACAGGCCTATAAAGATTTTCACAAGAGACATAAAGCATGTTTGGTTTGGAAGGTGCAATAAATGTAAACATGAAAGAAAAAAGTGATCTCGTTTGTCATAAACAGAGCATGTTCTCACACTTCACAATATTCTACATTTAATAAGTCTATATGTACTTTGACTTAAAATATTTCTTAATAGCTGGCAACATTACTGAAACTTTTTTGTTGTCTTTTTTTTTTTTTTTTTTTTTTTTTTTTTTTTTTTTTTTTTTAGATGTGTGAGGGACCTTCTGCAATTTCCGGGCCAATTCCCCCCGATCCTTCTCTGTTTCCTCAATACTACAAACGACCATCTTCAGGTTAGGAGCAAGTTTTTTTGTTTTTTTTTTACCTAACAATCACTTTTATTTTAAAGTTATATTTCAAATAGTTTCCCAGCTTTGATTGTGAAAACTTTAAATGGTTGTCTAATTTAGTGAGCWACAGCAACATTAAACCAATTATTTCTTCATTCACATTGATAAATGATATATTTTTAATTAACTTGAACTTATCCCTTACTTGTTGTAAACTTTTCCATGAACTACAAGTTAGTTTTCCCACTTTCTTCAGCTCGTGGTCGTTTAGAGGGAAACCGTGATGGGACTTTGGCCCTCGTCTTGGGTCCACTTGCTCCAGATCCTGTGTTGTATCCGGACTGCTACAGTGCTCACGAACCGCATCGCCCCCGCATCAGCGCTAATGCCACTCATATTTTAGAACGGGGAYGGAAAGGGATTGTGGGAGAGCTGCTGAAACTGGATGGTGTCTCTGTGACTCCCGTTCCCAAACAGAGTAAGGACGATTTCTTTCTCTGTTTTTTTTTTTTTTTTCAAAAACAGTTTTCCCTGTGAAAATGAAATATCCTAAAAGGCTCAGTTGTTTTTACTATTATTTTATGTACTTTTCAGACTTTGTAAATGTGAGGGGTTAAACATCTGTTATTGTTTAGAGTATCTGAGATATAAAACAATAAAAAAATAAGAAATTTGTTTGAACATAACACAGTATTAAATTGTAACTTTGACAACTTGTGTTTCTTGACCCCCTTAGAGCAAACAGTGCAAGATTTCAGCAAAGAAAATATACGTCGCCTCAGGGAAATTCAGAGAYGCTGTAAAGAGCAGGAAGCTCAAAGGGTCCAGAACCGTCCTGTTCCAGTTAAAGCTTTATGGACTTCCTCAAAATACCAAAACACCCCATCCAGGGTTGTGGCCCAGCTAGAGGCAAGGACAATGTCTGTGATTGATATAAGTTTTTGAAATCTGAACATGTTTCAATCAGTGTGTTTCATTTWTTTTAGGTTTCTAGTCCAACTGTTAGGCCACAGTGTCAAAATTTTCTAAAGGCRCACTCTAATGGTGGTTCTGCTGCACCTTCAAGACCTTCACCTGCAACTGCACAGCGTCCAGCGTCCTGCAGGTCTACACCAGACCAGGACTTGATGGTGATTTATCTAATTGACATGTTCTCAGATCTGTAATATGAGAAAGGAACAGCTACGACTGGTTTGCATCCACAACAATTTATGTTTTTTTTTTAATATGGTTACAGGTGCAAGGTCAGAAAATAGACTTCATACGACATAATGCCAGGAGTGCAGGACAAACTGTTCTTCGCCGGTCCCGGTCACTGACAAACCTCAGAGACAAGCCGGTGCCCAGTGCAGTCAAGGGTCAAGTTCCTCAGTAGTGAGTTTTTTTATATATATACTTTATTTATAGCAGCCTGAGAAGTATCTTATATTGTGTTAATATGTGCTTTATAATTGTTCACCTTATACAGTGGTTTGCAAAAGTATTCATACCCCTTGAACTTTTCCATATTTTGTCACATTACAACCACAAACATAAATATATTTCAC